ATTTTATTCAACATCTCTGGCATTTGCAAAGAAAGCTGTACCAATGCTCTGTCCCATTTGCAGCCCTCTGGATAAGAGGCCCTCTAGACAAGAGGGAAAAACTTGACAGCTTTCAGCTGAGCCTGGTTCTCTAAGGATCAATATTCCAGAGAGGACCCATCCCACTCCACTGCCCTGCAGAACAAATACGGGAAGGGGGAGGTTTAGGAACTGTGCGTCCACCACCTCCCAATAAACCAAAACAAAAACCATAGAAGAGTTCCGCAAAGACTGTCTAATTACCTTGCACAGCTTCTTAGCACTCCAGCTCTAACCCAGAATATGTAAGTATATCCTTGCAACGTGCTGCTCTTTCTAAAAGCAAGTTGGTTTTTATGTGTGACAGACTCGCGTGAGGCTGCCTACTGTGGTGGTGCAGAAGCATGCTGCACCATCCTTGTACTGCAGTGGTTTGCCAGCACTCAAATTGTATTCTTAGATGCTGTATTATTGGATAAATTTTACTTTAGTGAAAGACTTGAAAGGAAATCTCTTACTTATATATGGCAAATATGCAAAAGGTACAATAATTCTAAAGGAAGTCAGAAGTATTGCTTTCCGCTGTGTGTGTTATGTCACATTCCAATAGCTATCGGTCAGAATAAGATGCTTGATTTGAGATAGTGTCTACATTAAAAGAACGCTTATGAAGCACTTGATCAGGTTTTTATGTGTCTAAGACTACCAGCAGGAGCTGAGAGCGTTTGTGCTTCTCACAGCAATTGCTTCAGTTTGCACTGCAAAACCCATTAAGTTTTCAGTCAAATTTGTTAGTGCTGTCACATTCAGTCTATTTTTACAAAATAGTTGACCTGGATATTTATTTATCCTCTGGAGAGTTCTACTGCCATTGAGCTGCCTCTTATCATCCATGATCTTAATCCTAATTCTGTTCAATTAGGCAGAATTCCTCTTTAACTTGTTTCAGCCTATAGAATTATCTTTTATGTATCATGATTTAAGATGTTACCCTAGGCTACCAATTTTTTGCCTTTAAATTGGAAAGTAGAGTTCTTACCTAGGATGGGAAAAGTGAACGAGATCAGCTGCCTTTCACTTAGCCTGAAGTGTAGTATTACAATAAACCATTTTGCCGAGCAAGCAGTAAAAGTGACTGTGAGAGAGTTTTATACAAGTTTTACTATATAGTTGTAAAAGAAGAATGAACTAAAAGGACACCTTTGTCCGCATTTCGCTTTAGGGTTCCCAATGCTAACGATGACGACAGACCGCAGAAACCGTTCAGGGACACTGCACTTCGGAGGCCAAGCCAGTCAGAGTAGCAAAAGGTAGCGTTAGCTTTCAGAGCGTCAGTCCTGCTTGCTCGTGCCCTTCAGTGGAGTTACTCAGTTTGTGTGCTTTAATGATTAACCAGCTCGCTACTTCAGGCCTCGCAACACACAGTGGTGCACTGCCATCGCCCTAGAGGTGACAGACCGATACCGCTGTCGCAGGCTTGCGTTAGGCATGTGAAGGAGGTAAAAAAAGGAACGCAATTAAGTAGACTTAACAACAGGAACTTTTATGTAAGCACTATACAAACCCTTCTCCCTGTACTCACAGCAATTCTTTTCATTTATATGCTTACCGAACGTAACCAAAGCTGTGTAGACTGCATCCTCTCTGAGGGATTAAGCCTTGGTTCTGCACAGACCTCACATCTCCTAGTTGTTCTAACAGGACTTGAGCCTTTACGTTTCTCCCCGGGGGGGGCGGGAATCATCCTGCTAAAAGCATCCGCGCTCTCTACAATACTCCGTTCACACATATTAGCCATTACTTTACTTTGCTGTCTCTTTTATGTTCCATACAGCGGCTCCAATGTACACAGCAGGGTGATTTTCAGTAGCCACTGCAGAGAGCTTTGCGGCACATCAAAAAGAGCTTCCTTGGCTTTTTATCTCAGAGTCACTTGTTTCTGTTACATAGAAGCTGGATTTCATGTGAGGGCACATCAGGAGGAGGGAAGGAAGGGGGTGGGCTCTTTGCATCATTTTTTGGTTGCTCGCTTGTTTTGTTTTTCTTTAGGTGTGGTTTACACTTCGTTTATGTAGCTGCCAGTATTAAATTATTTTGCATCAATACATTTGCTGTAACACCTGTGTGCTCTATATGATTTAGAATAGAGGAAAAACATTGCCTCCACTGTGAACATCCTGCTTCCTCTACCCCAAAAGCCTCAGTGTGAATAGAAGGCATTTGGGCCCATTCAAGTGAAGGAAACCATCGACCACCGAAACAAACGGGAGTTCAGCAGAAGCTCCCATTCAGCATGGCAGTAGTTAAGCCTTAGTGCTGTGGTTTCCTCTACCTAACAGAGCTCTAAGCTAGGCGACTAGGCCACGTACACAGTCCTTGGGAGAAAAAACAGGCGCCAGAGAACGGGATTCGCAAAGCGCAGCCAACAAAGCAGGTGTTTGCTGCAGCCCTGCTGCTGAAGCCAGCTAGGCCTCAGCCTCCTACCTCATTCCTCTTCGCAAGCAAAAAGCGCTTCTCAAGATGGACACCACAGAGTTCACTTCACGGAGTCTGGGCAAGAAGAGTTGTACCAGGGGAACACTTGGGTTTTAGCTGTCATGCTTTGCATAAAATGGAGAGGATTACTTCTGCTCCTTCACTTACGCTAATAAGTTAGCAATGACAGGAGAGGTCTAGAAGTCCCGTATCCAGATTCATACCCCAGGTCCAAAAAATCAGGCAATTAGTAGAGCTGAACTAGTCTCCCGTAACTGGTTCATTTTCTGACAAGACAGAAAGTTGAACAACTTCTTTCTTCTGCTTTGTCAGTGCAGGATCTGAGCTGAGGATGTCTTGGACACCAAAACTGAGACAAGGACTAACTGATAAATGAAAGCTACAGAACTAGTTAACTTAAATGACAGCAACACAAGCACCTCAGCTGGAAGCACAAGGAAGTTGATCTGAATTTGGGGTTTAGGCGGAAACGCGGTAAACTGTAATTCCCAATTTTAAACCCAGGGAGGTGACCCTGGGTGCTATGCAATGCTGAGTCTATGCAGAGAAAAAACATAATGAGCAGCTTTCATTAAGAATGGAAACACTATGTTTTGTTAGAAAAAAAACCCAAAAAACTACACAAACTGTTTCTTTTGGCAATGAGAAAATATCCGTTACCTTAGAGTTTTATATCTGAAGGACCTAATTCAAAGCTCATTGAATTCATTGCGGGGGGGGAAATCTCACCACAGTGAGCTTTAGAAGGCCAAAGTAACTTGGGATGGTAGCGTATGTGTTTAGGATAAGGGAACAAATCACATTAATAAAGCGCTGACTAATTTCCCATCCTAGTTTCTTCAAATTTCTTCCATGTCAAGCAGTTTTATTGCTTATAGATAGCTGAGAGTTTATGCTCCCACCAGACACCCAAATAAACTACCATTATTAATATGAATGTCAGTAATAGTTACGCAGCAGTGGGAAAACAGTTCACTCAGCACTTCTTGTGGAGGTATATCAAAAGGCTCTGTATGCCTGTCTGTCGAGTAAAGTAACCAGTGAAAACTGTATCTAGACTGCACGTCGGCCTACCAAGGAAGATTTATGGGAGACTCATGTTTTGAATTTTGTGGATTATTCTAGAAATGGTCTGTCGCTTACCCAAAGCCATATTTAAAACTTAGAGCTTTCAACCCTAACTCTGTATTTCATTAGCCAGGTTCAAAAAAATGTTTTTTAGAAGTCACTTCTCAGAGAAAGTACTTACGAAATATTACTGGCAGGATTGGAGTGACCCCCAGTCACCTGTCTGAACGAGACAGAACCTGTACTGAATGGCACGAGCTACCCTTGTCTGAGGAACAGCCTTCTCTGAAAAAGTCAGCTTAGCATTTCTATGGGATTTATGCCAATATCCTTGTGATTATAATAGATTTCTATCACAGTTACCAGTTTCTAATACAAGGTATAACACAGACTTGCGCAAAACTGATGGGATGGGTGGTTGTGTTTTGTGCTTTTTTTTTTTAATAGCAACTATTTTTTCCCCATTGTACAAATAAGTAATTTAAATGTGTCTGCTCTTTCCATACTTCAGATGTACTAATCTGTACAGATTTACATTCCATTCTTTGATTTGCAGATTAAGCCAGTAATTCTTTACTACACAAGTCCAAGATACTCTAGAGAAAAATCAGACTTTCCGACTTCCGTGCAAATTACATTATGTATCTTGGAAGAAGCTTCCCAGACACTAATGTGTACAAGCTATCAATTATCTTTATTAGACAGGAGAGAGGGTGAAAGAACCAACTAAAACCAGAATTAAAGGGGGGAAAAAATGTAATTTGTGTCACTTACATGATGATTTAATTGTAATTTAGGTCTATAGTTAACTGTGTGATAGCCCCAGTGATTTAAGATTTGCTGCAACTCAACAGTGAAGGCAGAGCTTTAAATTCTCAGCTTAATACTGCCACATTAACGGAGTCAATATTGAGGATTAGCAACATTATAAAAAGATTATAAAAGACAGTTCATTTCAGAATTCAAAGAATAAACAATTTTTTGCATATTATCCTACAATACAGGACACCCCTGGCCAAGGCAGTGGTTCTCTTTTGCCTTTTTTTTGATGTGTCAGAAGGGCAGCGGAGCCACTAAGCTAGCTAACTGAAGCGAACAGGGGAGCTTTTGGCTCATGGTTAAAAAGCATGGCCAGAAACACAGCTCAATTCTAGAAAGCCTATTTGCTGAAACGGTAGCCGGGCAATTGAGGCTATTCTAAACTGCATCGGAGATTAAACCGGCCGGTGCCAAAGGGAACGGTCACTCCAAATCTGACCTAGTGCTTATCTTGTCTCCAACTGAAATATTTTTCACAGTAGCAGTGGACTTCAGTAGATGGACATTGGAATGTTCTCTAATCTATACTATCACACAGTAGCAACACAAGAAGTTCACAATGTTTAATCCAAATACTTCTTCCCTCGCTATTTTTAAAGGGAGGTCCAATCCAGAACCGAAAATCCAAGCGTTGCCTGGAATTGCAGGAAAACAATGAAAATGAATTTGGATTTCAGCTCGTCCTTCAGAAGTGCACTGGACAACGCTGGTCTATAACAAATGTCCTGAAAAGCTTGTCATCATAGCAGACTAAATTTTTTTACCTGTTTCTTTTGCTACTGTGTAGCAAATATTGCATTGTTGCCTGCTGTACTGTATTCCTCTTGCCCCCACACCCCTGGTTCCTTCTCTCCTCTTTTTTTGTCTCTTTATTTTCTGAGTGTGTGGAAATTGGGTTTGTGGGCTGAAAATAAGACGTTTTTATTTCACAATGATGTTTTCTTGGCATTTATAGAGATGTTGACTGACAGGTGATGGGTAGACTATCCTAAAATATTTTACAACTGTAAATAGGAAACAAATGGAAAATATTTATAACTCAAACTTTTATTGAATAAAAAAGTCTAAACACTATTACTGTCTAGCTGTCTCTATGACAATCCATTTGGAAGTTAAGTGGCAGTTCCGTTGTTTTCATTAACCCAAGCCTGGTTTCAGCAAGTTGTTGCCAAGTACCAGTGTTCTCCAGACTCGGGGTAAAAAGTCCTACCTGCACACTGGCAGCTACAGCGAGGGAGGATTTTCTCCGTTCTCCCTCTAGGGAGGCCGGGCTCGGTCACTGTAGCGACTAGTGGTGTCTGGAGGTGTATAGGTGTATATGCATCCATGTACTTTTCCTCACCAGTACTACTAAATAAAAACAAAGAGAGAACCCCAGGGCTCAAGTGAGGCTGGGAAGAGAATTAATTTAAAAAAAAAAAAAAAGCTACAAGAGAAGAGCAGCAGCTACAGGAAGAAAAATGCAGAAGACTCTGACATTTCTTAGTAGGTTGGCCTCCATTTCAATGACTGCACTTTCCTTCCAATTGTTCCTAGTTCTTACAACTTCTTTTTTCTTGTTTTAAATGCATTATTCCCTGGCTACCACAGATTTAGATAAAAATGGTTCCATCCAAAAGCAACAGCAAAAAGCATGAATTCACTCTGCCTTTCTCCCTACCTTTAAGGGGGTGTGAATGCAACACTGTATCACTTCGTCTCAGCTAAGACTGGGACCAGGAGAGGAAGAAATAGTCTGATGAGATAAACCAGAACACTACGATTACTGGCCTCTCTATTTCCAGCTGCTTTTATTTGTATGTAAATTCCCTCTCTTTTGCCCTATTTGTTCTTTTTATTCTGGTATTTGTTACCTGAAGTAACAGTCATAACCTCTTTCGGAGCTGGTTATGTGCCAAACTGTCTTTTACATACTGGCTTCACATTCAGGACCTGCCAGCAGTTTTGTGTCTTATGATCGTTTAATAATCATGTGTCATGTTAATTATATGTGTTCAACCTTCTGCTATATATAGTTACCATAGATCTGCTTCCCAGAGAAGAAAACGCTGAGCCAACAACAGGAAAACAGCAACAGCCATTAAAGATGGGCTTAACACCTGTACTTTGACCCACTTCAGAGGTCCCTCAGGCCCCTCTGAGTGAAAACATCCATTAAAATTAGAACCCTGAAAGAGCATCAATAGAGTGTCAGGGTACCACAGCTAGACAAGATAGAGCAGCTTTAATTTCACCCTGTAGAGGAAAGGGGAGGTTGCTACCCAAGCGAGCCAAGCCTCCTGCACACCGGAGCATGAGCAATGTCTCTATGGGAGAAGGCTCAGTACACGGCACGCAGAGCCATTCTGAGCATTCCCAAGTTCCACCGCTGACCAACTGGATTTATTTTTCACAGGCATTCCAGATGAACGAGGAGGGAACAGCACGTTCAGACAGAGGGGGAAAAAAAAAAACAAACCCCAAAGAGCTCATACAGAGTAGCAGGAGATTAACTACCTTTCAGCAAAGACACCAAGACTTCAGTGCATGGATATGCAGCCATAAGGAAAAAAACAAGTAGCATGGACCAAACCAGTCTCCTCCTGATTCTTGCAGGACTACTGCGTGCTGAGTTGTCACTTTCTGGGGTTTTTTTTGCTTAGGTTTGGGGGTTTGGGTTTTTTGGGGGGTTTGTTTTGGTTTTTTTATGAGCACTAGGAGGAGGCAACTAGCAAAGACTTGACAAAACTGAAAGGAAGGAGCTGAGCTCTGAACTGTTTTATTTCATACCAAAATGAATATTGTATGTCTAGCATTTGCCCAAAGAAAACTGTAGGTATTCCTGATTACATTGCAGCAGTGATGTTCACTATTAAGTGGGGAAAAAACCACAAACAACTGCTTAAGGGAGCCATGTAGTCTCACCAAGCCACGTTTGGTGCTCTCCAGCCATTTCTCCCTGCCACGCACCAGTTCCAAGGCTGCTGCCGCCCTCAATTCCCTCGGGGCCTGCACTGAGGAACAGTTTTCTTCAGCTTCTCTACAACAGCACAACATTACTGGGAATCCTGCAGTGGCAACTGTGGGTTTAAATTTGAGCGCACAGCAATTCTAGTAACTACAGTGGAATTACCAAAATACACATTGGGCTAAAAAACAAAACAAAACAAACAAATTCAGACTTGAAACATTACTTTATGCTACAACAACTCAGCTAGATGTAAAATACATGCATTATAATATGCTTTTGCCTTTGTTTTGCATCATAGAGTAAACTTATGTGATAACTTATAGAAAAAGGGAGAGAGGTTTAAATCTGTGACTAAGCCTACTAAAATAGCATTGTAGAAATTGTGAACGTACATAAGCAGCACCATTATTGTGCACTTTTTGAGACCTAGGGTCTCAGAACAGATTTTCTTTGGCATGCCTCCTCTCTTGGAAGAGAGAGAAAAACAGAGCGGAACGAGCAGGATGGAAGGACATAGCCATCTTTTGCTAGACACGCGCTCACTCTTGTCATGAATTGCCTCACCACTTTGCTTTTCAGATACACAGGAATTGCATAGATCTAGCATCAGTGCCTCACACTGTAAGAGACAAATAATCACCATACTAAAGTGAAGAATAAAACTCATCTTTACTTTCTGGAAAATTATAGAATAATATTCCATCAGTCAATCAGTCAATTCAATAAACTTCAATCAGTCACCTCAAATGATCAAAAACATTCCCAAATCCATGACAGTTTTTAAAAAAATGCTTTAAAGAGGGAAAGCTAGCACTTAAGGGTAAAAACACCATTCCAAAAGTCATACACCTCCTCACCCGAGTGAGGTCAGAGTTCATGGTCAGAGATGAAGATGACCAGAAAGATCTATTTCATCTTTTTGAAAGACCAAAATTTAATCCACCAACATGAGGCCTTAGTTGTACGACCTTCTGTGTCTTTGCTGAAAAGAAGTTAATCAGTTAAGACCCATCACTGAGCCTTTTCATAGATGTTGATCAAGAGGCAGTTGCAAAAGCGATAATTAAGCAAGTAGGTGTCACATGTCATTCTATACTGGGTAGCACTGAATACTTAGCTGGAGATAGAGAGAAAGGGTAACACTGAGATTTCAAGGTCACACATTAATAGAATGCACCACAGATTTGTTTATACCCCAAATTACATATATTTGTGTGTGCGGTATATATCTACAGCACCAAATATCTATATAAAAAAACGTAAGTGTGCATGTACACACTCATATACTGACTGTTTACTAGCAAAAAAAGAAAAAAAACCCCAATCACATTAAAGTGCACTTCATCTAACCACAGTCTTAAAGACATGGAAACAGGACAAGAAAATGAAAGGTCTGGATCACAATTTTATCACTGTGCTACCCAGAATACCTTCAGCACTACTTCTGTTTTTAACACTGACAAAAAAGCAGAACACATCATCATCATCATATTTCAACTTTTGGTCTAATAAGCGTTAATGGTTTTCCACAGGGTTAAGCCAGAATAACTTCCCAAAACCAGAATACAAAACAGTTGTGCTAATACAGAGGCTCAGGAGGCAATCATTACGTTTTTTTAATAACAGTGTGTTCTCTTCTGATTTGCTGTAGTATTTCTTCCATTACAGTCCCCCACACACCCCTTGCTTTTATAATGAAGGTACTTAAAAGTGCAGAACATGATGCTCAGCAATGTCACTCACAGCTATATTCTGAAACAGCAAAGCAATGTATTTTTGTTTATTGACTAATATTAGCTTTGCATTGTCAGGTAGAAGTGACTATTTTACCTGAATTCCGTTTCGTTAGGCATAGTCTCAGAAGGGGACATTTGTGATAAACCATCTGAAAACTTCTTGTAACACCACAGAAATATACTTGTCATCATAATATTTCCAGTGAAGTAGCCTCATTTGAAGTGTATATACGATAGGACAGAATTTTCCAATTCAAAGAATATATATATTTCCATCTTATGATATGAAAACAACAAATACATATTACTTAAAAAAGGCCAGAGGTAAATACAATTTTCACTTGGCTTTTAAATGGAATTCTAGAGGAAACTCTGAACCACAGTTTAGAAGGTAAGAGTGCTCAGATCTAAAAAACTATTAAAGAGGTTAAGTCCATCCATTAAATTCTGCTGCTGTCCTGATCAGCGGTCCTGTGTGGGTACTATGGATTTTTTAAGAACAATAGCATACAAAGTTTTTAAAATACTGATGCTTTCTTACTATGGGAAAGCTCTACAAAATTCTACCTCTTCTAGAAGCTAAACTTGCATGTCCCATAACCCAAGTCCATGGCTTCCCAGCAATCTCTTGCTCATTCATTTATCCACAAAGTCAGATTGTCCAGCTAAATCCAGGGCCCTTCTCACCCCTCAGCTTTTGGGAACAGAAAAATGCACCTCCTTGGCCAAAGGCAGCAACTTGGTAAGTCTGTAGTAGAGTGAATCCAGTCCTCAAACATCAAGCACAGCACAGAGCGCACTGGCTGCAGAGGTTTGCCACCTCTCAGCTAGGCCACAGAATGAAGGGAAAGCTCTTGTTAGCACACACAAAGAATACCATAAGCCTCGGCTTGCATTTTGGCCGATAAAGTTCCTTTAACTTCTCTCATTGTTAAAACCTCTTGTATCTTGGTGTTTTATTTCCCCATCTTTAACACTTGCCCTAGAACTGACATACTAGCAGTTAACCTGGGGAAGATCTGTTCATTTTCTGAAAACACAGATAGGAAATGAATATACCTGTATTTCAAGTGCCCATATGTGACACTGATTCTTATACCAGTTGTAAACATTTTGCTGAAGATGACATTGACAAAAGAGCACTCATTTCAATTCAGAACAAACCACCAAAGGATACATTCTTATCTTCAGCCTCTGTTAATAAGGGTTTTCTATGCATTGCTTTTTTGTTATTTACCATTATTTTATGATTTTCTATATTCTCCTAGATACTATTCAGCTATATAGTGAAAAGTAGGTCTTTTATCACTCAAGTTCCAAATGCTCTGGAAATTCTCCCAAACTTCTGCCCCAAGCGTGTCTACAGATCACCTTGAATAACCAGTGAC